CTGTACTGAGCCCGTTCATGAAGAGCGCGGTCGTGGAAAGCAGTGTGGGTGCGCGCTTGACGAGTCAGCAGGTCCAAAGTAAGTGGTTGTTGTGCAGAGTAGTTCTTATCGATGAAGTGTCCATGTTGTCCTCGGACCTGTTTGCGGAGGTGGAGAACCAGGTAAGGACTGGTGTCTCAGATGCGTCGCGGTACAAGTAATTACGATGCCGCTGGACGCGCGCGCGAATGGGGTGGCACCAGCATGGGTTCTATGGGGGACAGCTATCAGCTAGAATGCCCAGAGGGGGCGCCTTTGTATAATATTCCGCAGCGGTGCGTGGAAAGTGGAGCTCAGAAAAAAAAAAAACTGCCCCAGCACGGCGGGGTTTGGAGCTGACGCGGGAGTGCGTGCGGGGCGCCACGGAACCGACGCGCCCGCACAGGCGCTCGGACCGCCGGGGGGAGCCCGGTGCTGGACGAGATCCGCGCGCTGGGGCCCAGCGACGACAGCCAATGCGTTGCTGCACGGGGGTGGGGCGAGCGTTCCAGGTTGTCGGGTGGGGGGCGCGCCAGGATGCAAGAGTTAGGTCGGGCATGTCCTCCTGCAGGCGGATTTCCGACGAAGAATAGGGCACGGTGAAAAAATACCCCAAACATGCGCTGCCATGCTGTTAAACATAGTCCCCCGACCATTTTGTTCTACTATCTTTGAACAGCGTTCCAGGCAGTCGGGTGGGGGGCGCGCCAGGATGCAAGAGTTAGGTCGGGCGTGTCCCCCTGCAGGCGGATTTCCGACGAAGAATGTGGCACGGTGAAAAAATACCCCAAACATGCTCAGCCATGCTTCTAAACATAGTCCCCCGACCATTTTTTTCCTCTCTTTGAACAGCGTTCCAGGCAGTTGGGTGGGGGGCGCGCCAGAATGCAAGAGTTAGGTCGGGCATGTCCCCCTGCAGGCGGAATGTTTCGACGAAGAGTATGGCACGGCCAAAAAGATACCCCTAACATGCTCAACCAGGCTTTTAAAAGTAGTCCCCCGACCATTTTGCCCTACTATCTTTGAACAGCGTTCCAGGCAGTTGGGTGGGGGGCGCGCCAGGATGCAAGAGTTAGGTCGGGCATGTCCCCCTGCAGGCGGGTTTTCGACGAAGAGTATGGCCCGGCCAAAAGATACCCCAAACATGCTCAACCATGCTGTTAAACATAGTCCCCCGACCATTTTGTTCTACTATCTTTGAACAGCGTTCCAGGCAGTTGGGTGGGGGCGCGCCCGAATGCAAGAGTTAGGTCGGGCATGTCCCCCTGCAGGCGGATTTCCGACGAAGAATATGGCACGGTCCAAAACTTCTGCCGCCCCGCTCAAAATTGCACTTTACACCAGTGGGAGGGGGAGAGGGGGAGGAGGACAGCCAATCGTCCAGCACGCTTTCTCAACCCCGAGACTCGGCGGATCAGGGCTTTCCCATTCAACCAGTCCCAGCAGTATTGTCTGCCCCTCCAAGGAGGCCGCCCCTAGTCCTGCTTTTAAAACATAGTCCCCCGACCATTTCGTTCCACTATCTTTGAGCATGCTCTCCCTGTAGGAGGGCAGGCCCGACCGAATGCGCGGGAGCTCGGCGTGCGCAGGGCCATTCGGCGGGGCGGCGGCGGCGTAGGGCGGGCCGGGGCAGCGCGGGAGGCCTGGTGCGCCGTGGCGTGCTCGCAGCAGCGGGAGGGCCGAGCGCCACGACGTCGAGCCACCCTTTCCTCCTCCCTCCTCTTCCTCCTCCTCCTCCTCCTCCTCCTCCTCTTCCTCCTCCTCCTCCTCCTCCTCCTCCTCACCTCGCCCCGTGCGCAGCGCCGAGCAGCGATCTGCGGTGCGGACTTCACGAGCTGAGGGCTCGAGTCTGCGCGGCCGCTACGGCGTGCCGTTGTTGCGGTGCCAGGCCAAGGATCCCGCGTCGACCGACGCTCTTCGCGGAGGCCCGACGCCACCGGGGAAGAAAAAGCAGTGGCTGCAGCCAAGACGCTGAAATAAGGAACCGTTCGGGTCGGGAAGGGGCTCGACGTTTCTTGCATTTCGTAGGTCCTTCCATGGCTGTTTCTCCAGCGTTCCTCGTCCACGCAGGCGGGTTTGGGGTCAAAGAAGGGGCTTCGTTCCTTATTTGGCGTTCCTTCTTCCCGCAGCCCGACTGTATCGCGACGCGACTGACAGTGCGGCGGCCTATGGGGCACGCTGGCGCTGGCGCAGGGCATGCGGGTGCTATTGACGGAGCGCGTGGACAGATACGAGAGGTGCCAGAAGTTGAAAGGCACAGACGTGGAGGTGCAGCATCTTCAGCTGGAGCCCGAGGATGAGCGTGCGTGTCAGGGCCAGGACGCGGCGGCAATGCAGCGTTGGCCTGTGTGCGTTAATGTTCGTAACGTTCGTAAAGTGGTCACGCACTGGTCTGTGGAAGGGCTGCCGCCGGGCGCGTGCCCTATCGCGGCGTCAAAGTCGGGGCCGTGGTTTCTCGATGCCAATCGCACTGTGCCGCGGTTTTCGCATTCTACCGTTAAGTCGGGCATGTCCGCCTACAGGAACACTGTTCAAACATAGCTTTAAACATAAACTGGGAACGATTGTTGAAGTATTTTTTCACATGTTTCGACTATTTTGTGACTATTATCTCGATCTTGCGTCAAAAACCCGCCTGTCGGAGGACACGCCCGACCTAATTCTACCGTGACAGTTGCCGCTGACGCCTGGTTTTTGCGTGACGGGTCGTTCTCTTCAAGGCGTGGACGAGGACCCTGTGGCATTAGACATAACGAGCGGTCAAGTGGATCAAAGCAAACGTGCTACGTGGGACTGAGTCGAGAGCGGACGCGGCTCGGAATATACATTTTGCGCCCCTTTCCGACAGTCGTTCCAGGGATCGGCGCCATTGGGGCGAGCCGCGCTGTTGACGAAGCTCCGCGGGGAGGAAGTGGACAGGGCCGCGTTGAAAGAAGGGGCACGCCCCCGGCAGGGGAACGAGAAGAGGAGGAAAATCTCTTTGACGAGCTACATGCCGCGCTCGAAGTGTGAGGTCCTGCTGGACAGCAATGAGTTCTCGGAGTCGCAACGCTGGCTAGGTGGCGTGTGGGAAGCGCTCGGCGACGTCTGGCAAACGGCCAGAGTCGTCTGGCAGTCAGCCGAACAGTCGGCTGGAGATGACACTTGCGCTGGGGAGTGCGGGCGCAGCCTGCCGTGAGACCAGCTCCTCGAGCCGCAGCCCAACAGACTGAGCCCGAAATTCCTGGAGTGCACGGGGGCCCGTGGCTTCCAGACGGCGGAGGACGTGTCGCGCGGGCGTTGCGAGCTGATGACTCCCGGCAGGAGTTTGCCTGGTGCCAGCGGGAAGCGCCAAGTTCACTGACCGGTGCAAATGTGTGCCTCGACAAGCACGACCGGATGGTGCGGCAGTCCCCGGCTCGCGGACAGCTTGTAGGAGGGACTTGACGCGTCGCGCTGCGGGGGTGGACCCGCTGATGATTGCCGGAGTTGTCGTGACATTGTACGTCGGTGGTGGGTTTGCTGGCGATGGCCAGAGTTGTCGCGACACTGCACGTCGGCCAGGTGGCTTCTGGAGCTTACTGTTGTGTCCTACTTGTGAGACTCCCTGCGCTTGGACGAGTCGCATGAACGCGCCTCGGCGCTGGTCAAACAGAGTCGTGTTCAGATCGCCGTCATTGTCATTCTTTGTGCCGGAATGCTGTTCTGACTTCCGAGGAAGAGGAGGGGAGGATGTCGGGGAGGAGGGGCGGGGGAGGGAGAAGGAGGAGGAGGAACAAGAGGAGGAGGAGGAGGAGGAGGAGGAGGACGAGGAGGAACGGATGATGATGATGATGATGATGATGATGATGATGATGATGATGATGATGATGGTGATGGTGATGGTGATGATGGTGATGGTGATGGTGATGAGGATGAGGATGAGGATGAGGATGAGGATGATGAGGATGAGGATGAGGATGATGATGATGATGATGATGATGATGATGATGATGATGATGATGATGATGATGATGATGATGATGATGATGATGATGATGATGTGATGGGAGGGGGGAAGAGGATGAGGAGGAGGAGGAGATGAGGACGAGGAGGAATAGGAGGAGGAGGAGGAGGAGGAGAAGGAGAAGGAGAAGGAGAGGCAGAGTGGGACGAGGAGGAGGGAGGAGGAGGAGGAGGAGGGGAGGGGGCGGTGGAGAAGGAGGTCGAGGCAGAGGATGTGGAAGAGGAGGAGGGAGAGGAACACGAGGAGGAACATGATGAGGGGGTAAAAAAACGACGAAGGGAAAGGAGTGGAGAGGATGAGGAGCAAGGACAATAGTATTAGAAGTATTGAAAAAGGGGGGAGGAGCAGGATGTGGAAGAGGGGGAGGAGGAGGAGGAGGAGGAGGAGGAGGAGGAGGAGGAGGAGGAGGAGGAGGGAGGAGGAGGACGGCGGAGGAGGAGGGGGAGTGGCAGGAGGAGGAACAAAGCAGCCACGGCTGGCCTCCCAGGAGGAGGAGGAGGAGAAGGATGGGGAGGAAGGGGGGAGGAGAAGGAAGATGAGGAAGAAGACGAGTTGGAGGAGGAGGACGACGAGGAGGAAAGGACAATGAGGATGAGGATGAAGGTGAGGATAAGGATGATGATGCTGATCATGATGATGGTGATGAAGATGAACGATGCTGATGCTGGTGCTGATGCTGATGATGATGATGATGCTGATGCTGATGATGCTGATGCTGATGATGATGATGATGATGATGCTGATGATGATGATGATGATGACGATGATGCTGGTGATGATGACGATTGGGGAGGGACAGAAGGGGAGGCAGAGAGGGGCGAGGAGAAGGAGGAGGCGGAGGGGACGGGGGAGGAGGAAGACGAGGCAGAGGATGTGGAGGAGGAGGAGGAGGACGACGAGGAACATCAGGAGGAACCTGACGAGGGGAAAAGAAAAGGACGAAGAGGAAGAAGTGGAGAGAATGATGAGGAGGGGAGGAATAATGTAAGGATAGGGA